AGTAACCGCCTCGCATAATATGCTTTCAGCCAATCGTAGCAACAAATCGTGAGGTTTCGAAGCTGAAAAATCAAACGTTTTCCAAATTCTGTCAGAAGATCTACAAATGCACAAAGTGCTTCTGCTTGGTCCTTTTTTGAATGAGAAATTGTTGCTATTTTAGCTAAAACCGAGTAAATAGCGGTATCATCAGGTGAGTCCTCCAGCGTAGCCATGTTTTTTTTACCCCCTCAAGGCCCTTGTGGCTGTCGTCATTCCTACATGTCCCGCCCCAAAAAACACTGCTGGCGTGTCATTGGTCCGACCCACTGGCAGTTCGGGGACGGATGTGTTAGCGGGAGTCTTTCAAGATGGATTTGTGGTGAGACTGAAAACTGAGATTTCGTGACAATCCAGCTTGCAGTGCAAGGTTACATCAGTCATAAAATGTTTGGAAATGTTCTGTTAAATTTAGATAAGAGTCTTATTCTATAAGCCAGAGGTCTCTCACCCCACCTGGGGCCTGTAACATTCAACTTTTTTGTTGTGCATCAGCTTCACCTAACCTCATTCGAGTAATGAGGTCATTAGCATGATTCAGTAATATGCAATGACATGCTGAGGAGGTATGCCAGTCATCTAGATCAGCAGGGATGCATCTAAAACGTACAGCACACAATCTTTCCCTTTGAGGACTGATGTGCAAGACTTGCCTCTGCTGATAGTAATAGCTGACAATTTAAGGCAACAAGCAGGGAAAATGTTTCTGTTTGTTGTTAGTTTTGGGTGTAAAAGAGAACGCTATTCCAATCATGCATTATTGAGTTTTTATTGCATATCTAGTATCTTTTACGGACATGCAGACTTTACTTTTGGTCTACATAGAGCAACAACGACAGAGAGGTAAAACTTAAAAATGACCTTAATGATTACCAGTTTTCCATTTTCAGTTTTTGCCTGATCTGCAGATCCATATTTACACAGATTCTGAGTTGTTTTGTTCGTAATACATAGAAAAAGATTGTTGCATGTTCATATTCTCAGATAACTGAACAAATTGAAGATTTTCCTCATTTATGCATCAGTGCATATGTCCTTAACCTTTATGTGACATTCATTATACTAAAAACAAACCATATCAAAGCATATTTTGTTAATGAACACATTTAATGAAGCGAATAAAACAAACACTCTGTTCTTTTAAAGCATTTAAACTCCCGATCAAAGATTGTATCTGTTAAATTTAAATTGCAGATCTCTGCAGGTCAATTAGCTGGTCTATCTCTCTTTTTATAAACAAAACAAAAATGTAACAACAGAAAATAAATGAGTCCTTTCTCTCCTCTGTGTCTATAATGCAATCAGATGCAGCTATGTCAATATGGTGAAATAAGTATTGACTGACTGTTAGCACTTTCACTGCATCAGCAGAGCCTTAAATCAAAACATCTCACATTATGACCCACATTTTGTCTGCTGGTCACGGCTAGGCAAATTCAAAATGGAGGCATGAAGCAAGTGTTAGAGCACACACACACGCATGCACTGGATTCATGCTCTCAGCTGCACTGAAACCTCTATGATGATGCAGCAGGAACCTCTCTTCTTCATTCTCTGAGGAAAACAGACCCTGAGATCCGCTCTGTCACCCCATTATTTTCATCCACATCCCTACAATCTGCTGCTGTCAGTATCCCTGTTTGAGGAATAGCAAATATTCATGGTGCAGCTTTTTATATCTCTCATCGTAAAACAACAATTGGGGAAAAAAAGAAGCAAAAAACAGAAATACGTTAAGCGCCAAAATGTTCTATAATCCCTCCATCAGCAGAGAGTCATGTAGGAAACAGCTATGAGTTAATCCAGACAAATGATTATGCTGTTAGTTCAGCTTTAACATCAGTTATTCACACTCAGCCTTCTAATTTGACATCAAAACACCATGATGTCTAGATAAACACAGAAAATGTGAAATTCATTGAAATTAGCTAAACAGAAGAGCATGAGATGAGCAGAAGGTGCTGTAAACATTCTCTTATATAGGTGCAGATTTAAAACAGTCTTCCTCATATCTGTGTCTGAGGTTGAGCCCCAATGTTAATGCAGGACTGTGTTTGTATGTTATATGTGTCAGTGGGTCAAACTCAGAGGATGGAGAATCCTTTGGAGCTGGTGCTCCGCATTAAAACAGATCCAATATTTTAACATATAATCCACATTTTAACCTCAATAGAGGCAATAACAGAGAGCAAAAAGAAATAAAAATGATTTTGTTTTTGGTCATGACTCACCCCATCCCAACACTCAGGCATGGTTGCTGTGAGTTAGCTGATGGCTGCAGGAAAGCAGACGAGCGGCCAGACCTTTCCTGTTTTAGGGGACCAGGTCCTGGTGAGCACTCGCTGGAGGATGGAGAGCGGGATGGTGATGGCGCAGAGCTCTGCAGAGTCTTTGTCTGATTGCTCTGCAGCCAGCCCAGCGCTCTTATTCTAACAGCTTCTGCCCCTCCTCCTTCCTCCCTTTTCCTCAAACATCCCTCATCATTACATGCAGCCGAGGGAAACATGGGCAGCAGGAAGGCGATAGGCTCAGAAAGCTGCTGCCCCCTAAACACTCTTTCCTATTGGTTCCCTGTTCTGTCAGTCAGAGACTCTCTCTCATCAGCAACACTGTGTCTGATCAGATGAGATGTTGTTTACCCGTTTCCCTCTACCGCCTTGTTTGGATTTTGACTTTAAATAAATTGGCCTAAATCGTTTAATGCTAACTATCAGAGATTCTCATTCTACAGTCAATTGCAGACCGTGAATTATGTGAATAATGCAAAAGTAGACAAATAATTCTGAACATTATTTGTATGATGTGTAGACAAGGTGGTGCAGACATAATATTTTTTATAGGAGTGGCCAGACAAGGAAGAATGTGCACTTAGGGGTGTTCAGAAGTGGATAGGTCCCAAGGTCAACCTACACGGTTCGACTCCTGACCCGCCAGGTTGGTGGGGGGAGTAATTAACCAGCGCTCTCCCCCGTTCCTCCTCCATGACTGAGGTACCCTGAGCATGGTACCGTCCCGCCACACTGCTCCCTTGGGGCGCCATTGAGGGCTGCCCCCTTGCACGGGTGAGGCATAAATGCATGGTGATCGGCATGGTGTGCAGTGTTCACTTGTGTGTGCTGTGTCACAATGACAATGGGAGTTGGAGTTTCCCAAAGGGCTTTTCACTTTTCACTTTTCGCTTTTCACTACTAACAGGGAAACAAACGAGCACAACACTCATATTTCCCAAATAGTTCTTCATAGATTCTGTGTCATGGTTGGGTCGAGGTTTTTGAGGATCCAAATGCAGAGATCAGGATGCAGAGGTGAGTCTTGCTGATTTATTAGGCAACTAAAGCAGAAATCCAAACATCCAAAATACTGAGAACCCAAAATAGGATTAAATCAGGGAAAAACTCATGTGGGAAGCCAGAGACAGGGGGAAAAACAAAACAACAAATTAGCACTGAGGTGGTGTATATATTGGGAGACTGAACCCAGGCAGTCTGATCAGCAAATAGGGAGCAGGTGTGGGCAAGACCAACAAGGAAGAAGCCAAGGGGAAAGGAAAACAAGCACAAAGGGAAAACAGAGGGTAAAATGGAAGCTGAACCTTTCTCTAATCTTCATCACTTTGATATAGAACCACGTTTTTCACCTGAGAAACGCCTCGAGTCGTAGGTTTAACCCAACCTTGCATCTCGTTCACCCACAGAGTTTGTTAGCAGTAGAACTCTTATGATGCTTACAAACTTAGAAGTTTTTGACTGTATTTTTGCTAAATGAAGTTGTAATTAGGACTAGTTCAATAGGCATTGTTTAGTCCTGCACTGGTTTCATTTTGCTCTAGACTGATGTGACCAGATGAGTCTAGCTGCTCCTGAAGGTTAAGGCTGTGTTTAAAAAAATCCACTGTAGAACCTCAACCG